TTAAAAGGAAACAAAACAAACAGTGTCTACAGCTTTTCATACTTTAAAAAGGATAAAACGACTCTCTAAGAGTTAGGCAGAGTCGCGCACCATAGATTTCTCCAAGACAGGATTCTGACAACCTTCTATATGATGTATGAAGATAAAAGAGCTCTTTTCTGTAGTTGGAGACAGGAGACTGAGCTGGAAGGTTGAGAATCTGAGATTAATGAGAACGTGGCCTATTCAAACATTTTTTTTGTGCCTTTTTATGTTTTGCAGGGGTTTTGTCTCACTCTTGCTCTCTGTGTTTTGAAACTTTGTGCTGTCTGTATCGAATCACAGCAGGGTGGAATTACAGAGTTTTTCCTGTGGTTCTTTGTAATGCCAACATTACACAAATAGTTGTAATTTTGTAGAGGCTTTTGTTAAACAATTCCTCAATTCTAAATATATTTTTCCCCAGGAGACGTTGGATTGATAGTGCTTGTTACCTGCAGGAGTTCTGCAAGGGCTATAGATTCTACTTTTTAACTGGTTGTTTTGCTTTTATTCTTAGGATAAGACTGTTGTTTATTAATCCTCGAGGGGAAACGGTTTTTCATCATAGACGGATATAATACGCTGATAGAGACATATACCCCACACCAATGACACAAGGCAGTGGGGTTGGACCATGTTCAAATTTTCTAACTGGCCGCCATCAATCCAGTAACCTCCAATCTTTGATAAGCAATGAGTTGTAAAGGCTGAACAGCTGTCCGACACCATTTGAAAAAGAGTCAGATGGCGTCAGATGAAGGACGCCTCTGCTTGCAGCTTCCAAAATGAATAAACAGGTGGAGATAAGACATGTTATTAAATGATCAGGGCGCACAACAGCAAATACAGCTTTTGGTCTAGTATTAAAGTATGATTAATGAATTGACGTTGCTTTTAAGCTCCAATCGATTGGAAAGCAGCCACTAAAGACATCATTTAGTCACTGTCCTGTTTTGAGACAGGACAGGATAAACATATTAATGGACAGGCATTTACCTCAACTCAACAACCCAGGCGACAATCTGAGTCTTCTCCCAGCCATGTTATAGCCAATCTGCACTACACAGTCACCAGATATTCAGTGATACACATCAAATTAGAGCACATTGCATCCTGCGGCACACCCTGACTTACGTCTGTCTTCACTGACATCACATATGCAACAAAACAGCCGTATGAAACCAGGCTTCTATGCACTTTACTTGCTCACGGTCTATAAATCTGGTAACAGTGAAGGTTGTGTTTCTACCAGATTAGGATCTGCCAACTCAGTCAGACCACACAGACCTCATACACGTAACAAACAAAATCAGTTTATGTCGTAGGTCGAGTTCAGACTGACTTAAGTCCTACAAGAAACCACCTTTCTGTTCATTCGAATGGATCCCATCTGGGTGTGTTTCTGTTGTACAAGCTCAGCTTTTGCAGAAACATTAAATTATGATTTCAACGTTGATTTCATTTCCTTGTTACACTTACAAAATATCTACTGTTTACCTTGTGATTGTATTTTTTTTCCTTGTTCACCGTATGAATAATATAACTCACAATATTTTCGTGCTTGTACTATTTTCTAATGCCCCTCAAATATATATGTTTATATAATTAAATCGATATCGGCTTATTGCTCGATAGTCGAAAAAGATAATCTTTGCTGCGATGCAAATTTAAAAAGCCTTGCCCCACAATCTGATTGAATGTCTTTCAATTAAATTCATTTAGATAAAAAAAAAATTCAGCATATTGAGTTTTAGTTGTGTAGAGCACATAACGCACTGATTCCATGCCAACTTTCCAGTGTACGACACACACAAATACAGATGTGAGTTATTGAATGAATAAAGAGAGAAATTAGTCAATAGATTAACTAAATCAAAAGTATTATCCCATCAATATTTTTGTTTTCCTCACCAAACCAATTTTCATTTGAGTACATGTATATAATACCATTCATTCATTCACATGCCAAACCTAACTTGACGTTCACATTTCAGACTTTGAATAAATGCTATGCCCATAAGAGATGTAGTCAATCAGCCAAAACTCCATAAATAAAGCAAGGGTAAAGTAAACTAAACCAGCAGACGCTTCAAATTATCAACAGTTATTAGGTAAGAAAAAAAAACTATTTGTAAGATTTGTGTAACTTAATCTGTTTTTAAAGCAGGCCGCTGACAAGGAGATGACTCTCTGTAAATCCTCTTTTGTACTCAGGACAGCACGCACTGAATCAAGATAATGAACGTGTCAAAAACTGTCATGTATCGGTGAATGCCGTGTCCCTAACAAAAACATTGTCATAATGTTTGGCTCTTCCTCTCTGACAAAAAACACATTTCTACGTATATACAGTAGCTTCAGTTTCCTTCCTGTCGCAGAGGTTTAAGACGCTGAGAAGTCCTGCCTCCCTGACACTCAACAAACTCCTGAGTTTTAATTTTCACTGTAGGGAGATAGTGCCCGTGAGGGAGAGGCCCACGACTGGTGTGATCTCCTCCAGATCTTACAGGAGATTTTCATCTTTTGGCTCTGCACTTTCATGAGCGTTAAAGCTATGAGACTTCAAGTCGGAACAATGCTATAAGATCTTACAGGAATGACTTTGCTTTCATATCGACTGTCCCTGGAGTTGCTGGAGATGTGGAAATGAATGTTTATGAGATACTTTGCGTTCATGTGCCAAGCACTGAAGTCCTTTGGTTTTTGAAAAGTTATGGTAGGTTTTCTGTAAAACCCTATAATATGGGTGAAGTCAAGGCCTCATGTTAGGGTAATTTTTTGTTAAAGGTCCGTTGTGTAAGATTTAGGTGAAAGGAATTTTGGACAGAAATTGAATATAAAATAATCCTTGTGATCTTTTCACTGGTGTGTTTCATTTAAATTGTATGAATAGTTCTTTGCTTTACAATAGAATGGGCTCTTTATATCTAAAAACTTTATATTTACATGGAGGGGGTTCCTCTATGTGGAGGCAGCCATCTTTTTTACTGTCGTCCAAACTGGACAAACTAAAACCTTTTGAGTTTTATGACAACTGAAGTGGGGGAGGGTGAGATGAGGAGTATTCAGCTGCAACATGCAACTTCACCTCTAGATGTCACTAAATTCTACACACTGAACCTTTAAGTGGTGACATGTGATACCAGTATTTTCAAGATCCTGCAGTACTGTGTCTCTCGCTGTGATTACAGTTGCAGTTGCATAATTAACTTTTTTTATACCTCTCATGATAATGTAACAGATCTCTTACTTGTTAAATACAACTATTTGCTGCATGCTCCCTCGCACTACCCCAAAGTGCTGTGTGCTTGCGCTATGGTCCATAATGTTGTTACCGTCCACACATACGGTCAGACCTCGTAGTTTTAGCTGCAGTTGTGGCATGCAATTCAGTTGTGGCTCTTTCCCTCTAGTCTGTGTACCTGTCACTGGGAATCTGTTGCACGTGAGAGTGACCCCTGTTACCGCAATATATTGAATTAATTTTTTGGTAAAGCTGAAACCTTATATGAATCTAGTTCTTTTCTTATCCAAATTGATGTCTTAGTAAAGAGGATGTGCTGATGAATAGATTTACTCTTGTTGCTTTGGTTGTTTGCTTGCACCTTAAAGATTTTGACTCGGATAATGTGTCTTCACGAGTGAAGTCACACTTAACAAGCTTAACAACAAGCAGATAGCTGCTATGAATAACATTGATAACTACTACGTTTCTGCTCTCTGTTCCACATATTGTAAAGAGAGCATGCTGAGCAGGTAAAAGAAAAAATGTGCTGCTAATTGGAACCTTACCACCGCACTAATATCACCTTCTTTTCTCTTTCTACAGACTGGTCCAAATCGGATTCCATACATTTATGATTGAATGTGAGACTACTTTGACCCTACAAAATTGAAGATGATGTTGCTATGGAAACTGCTGGTGCTGCAGTCACTTATGGGGTGCCTTGCAGGTAAAGTATCTTATTAAGAACTTTTGATGCATGCCAAAGCTGCCTTTGTGAAGTCTGAGTCCTTATTCATATGTATTTGGGGCAGGTGACAGTTTGCAAAGGAGCAATCTCGAGAAGATTAGTCATGAGCAAACATATTTTCCCCCCATTGATATGAAATAATAAGAATCTGGAATCCATTCAACAAGGAAATGATTGTTAAAGTAAACTATTGTCTGCTAAAGACTTTCAATCGCAGGCAATATTGCATTTCGACTTTGCCCTAGTGTTGTATCTGGTTCTTAGAAAAGGTTACCGATATCAACCTGAATGTGAAGAAGCAGAGTGCATCTCTTCAAGAAAATATTCAGTTCCACTCAGTTGCACAGATCACAAATAAGATTTTATCAGAAGACTTCCCTTAATCTAATATATTCTAATAATTATATGACTGAAAAACAAATTAATGTACACACATTAAAGGCAGGGGCAGATCCAGGGGGTGGGGCCAGGGGGGCCACTGGATCTGCAAAAATGTGTTAAGAATTAATATTTTCTAAGCTTCTTTTAAACTACACAATGTGCTTGAAGAAGGAACAATTTGTTCAATGAAGTGTGGCTTTGCCCAAAGCTATAGAGTTAATGATAAACAAGCAATTACTTAATTGTGCATCTTTCTGATTCAGGAATTGTGCACCGATATTGGACGTATATAATTGGCCCCTCTGTGTAAATTGTGGCCCCGATTTAGAAATATCCTCGATCCCCACTGATCAAAGTGTACTGTGGAGATTTGACCACCAGTGCTGCTGTGGAGCAATGTTATGTCTACTTTGAATATGAACCTCACTTAGTGTTATATCACTCTTTCAGATGAATAGTACAAATTCAGCAGAGATGTTTTTTTTTACTTTTCATGTGCTGTTTGTGCTTTGGATAACTTTTGATTACCAAACCACCACCATCGGCACACAGCAGTCATGTGATTGGTCAAAGAGTGTTTGGCTCACAGGTGTTAGGGGAGTGGTTGTAAACAGGAGTGAGCAC